AGAGAGAGAGAGAGAGAGAGAGAGAGAGAGAGAGAGAGAGAGAGAGAGAGAGAGAGAGAGAGAGAGAGAGAGAGAGAGAGATCCCGCATGCTGGTGCGCGCATATACACACATCACGGCCACTTTCTCTTCTTTCTTTCTTTTTCTTTTCTTTTTTCTTTTTTCTTCTTTTTTTTCTTTTTCTTCCGTGTATCAGCGATCACCGCACCGCACTGTGCAGCGCACCTCACATATGCGCTGCAGTATGTGCGACACTCATTTGTTTGTTCTGTATCCCAATCATGGCGAAGGATTGGTGTGATGACGTCAATCTTGAAGAACAACCGTGGGGTTCATTCTTTCAGTCTATGAGAACAGGATGTGTTTCTGATCTGGCGTGGTTGGTTGTATTTCCTATGCAGTGTTACAGATGATACCTGCGTTGCGATGGATGAGTATGTGCAGCGGCCGGGCAACACATCATTTGAGAAGGTTATCCCTTGTATGAACTTGGAGTCGACACGTCAGGTTCTGAAAACGAGCAAGGGAGCCGTTCACAAATTTGTGAGCGAGGTACGAGAATACATGCTACGAAATCTCACTCTTGATGCCTCTTCTCCTCTCTGCTTTTCCTTCACTCTTTTCCTTCATTTCTGCTTTTACTGCTTTGTTCCTGAATCTGCCGTTTCCATTATGTCTCCGCTCTTGAGCACTGCACCACTCGGGCGCAGCAGATTTCAAACTCATTGTGCGAGCCTCCTGGTTTTTTGTTTTTTGTTTTCCCAATGGCTCACTTAGTGATAGTGGTCAGATTGGCAAACCCCTATGCCTACTCTCTTCAACAATGTGAAACATGCAGCCCTGTCCGGTCATCAGGGAATGCAATGGAGGTATGTACTGGGTGCTTCACTTCAGGATGATAGAATCCATATCTGGGGGTTGGAAATTTATTGAGTCACAGCTCAATGGCCATCAGACGGCTCGGATGAGACGAGGCACAGCAGCACCTGCCTCTCTTCCCCCCCAAAAAAGAAACTCTCACCGCCTTACCCACCTCCCTCACTCTCCCCTCCTCGTTAGGACGTCAGGGAGAGAGAGAGACAGTGGGACACCGTTGCTCCCAGGCGTCCAGGGCCACGTGCCCCCCTCGCACTCCTCCAGGCGAGTGCGGCCTCCCATAGGTCCTTCTGCCCCCAACTTTCCACTGCATTCCCCACCCTCCCCACTGTCCTGCCATAGCCAGACTTCCACACACACACATACACACACACACACAGAAGTCCGACAAAACAGTCTGGTACAGTCATGCTTTTTTTTATTGTATAGCGAATATGACAACAGAGAGAGAGAGAGAGAGAGAGAGAGAGAGAGAGAGAGAGAGAGAGAGAGAGAGAGAGAGAGAGAGAGAGAGAGAGAGAGAGAGAGAGA